TGGGGCCGGGATGCAGCATGTCCATGGGTCGAGGAGCTACTGGGCTCGTACCGATGGTTTTCCCCTCACATCTCTGCTCTCTATGAGTTAAGAATCGTAGAGTATCTCAAGTGGGAAGGGACCCATAAGAATCATCGAGGCCAGCTCCCTCTTCCTGGCATGGCTGCCTGAAACTAAACAGCATGGCCAAGAGCATTGTGCAGACCCTTCCTGAGCTCTGACAGACTTGGTGCCATGACCACTTCCTTGGGGGGCTTGTTCCAGTGACCGACTGCCCTCTCTCCCTGAAGAACCTTTTCCTAATGCCCAATCTGACCTCCCCGTGGTGTATCTTCATTCCATTTCCTTGTGTCCTACTGCTGGTCACCAGAGAGAGGGTATCAGCACCTCCCCCTGTGGAGCCTCCCTTGAGAAAGTTGTTGGCTGCCATGAGGTCACCCTCAGCCTTCTCTTCTCCAAGCTGAGCATACCAAGTGACCTCAGGTACTCGTAAGTCTTGTCCCCAGGATGGTTTGACTGCCTTTCTCTGGACACAATCTTAATAGTTTGATGTCCTTCTTACACTGAGATGCCCAAAACTACACACAGTGCTTGAGTTGGGGTGTCACAAGTGCAGTGTAGAGTGGGAAAGCTGCCTTCCTCAGCTGTGCTGTGCTTGATGCATCCCTGGATAGCATGGCCTGTTTGGCTACCAGGACATGCTGTTGATTTCTGCTCAACTTGCCACCAATCCAAAACCCAAATCTGTTTCTGTGGTGCTGTTCTCCAGACTCTTGTCCCCTGATTGATATGTATAACTGACATGACCCTCTCTGAAGTGGAGAACCCAGCACTTGCTCTTGCTAGATTTCCTATAATTGGTGATATAGCTTGTCTAGCCTATTCCAGATCTCTCTGCAAGACCTTTCGACCCTCAAGAAAATTCAATACTTTTGCTATTTCAAAATCATAGTGGAACAGTACTGCTCCCAGGAAACTCAAGCATCTCCAGATTTTCTTTAAAAGACAGATGTAGACAAAAAGCTTTCTTCCTTATAATTTGTATTCCTGTAGTTCTTGTGAGCTTCAGATGCTGTTTTTCCCTATTTGAGAGCTAAATTAATAGCAAACATACAGAAACAACCTTTGCATACACAATCCTTCACATTTACCTTAAATGATGTGGAAGAGCATTTCTGTAATAAACTTGGTGGAGTTGGAACATTTGGAACCTTTTTTTTTTTTTCCCCCCTTTTATTTAAAGTTAGTTCACATTTCTGGACTTCTCACTTGCATGTTCCCAAGCACAAGTCTTTTTTTCCCCATCACTTACTCTTGATCCCAGACAGTGAAGGTGAGTGCTGTTTCTTACCCTTTCTGACAAGACTGTGGACTTGGCATTCCATATGTGAATCAGCCTTTGGGTGGACATACCTTGCTGATAAAAAACATAATGGTATTTCTTCTCAAAACTTCTGAGGTCAGTTTTTGTGGTTCTTGTAAATCACAGGAAGACTTCCTAATAGCCGTTCTCTGAAGAGCTTGCATTGCATTTAAAGTTGAACAGAAGTGACATTCGCTTGTCATCACCTTTCTACTGGTATCTGATGCGTGTAGTGCAGCAGGGAAAATAAAACCAGTGACTGTGGTTGTTGTGGCCTTTTAATGGAAGATGTAGAGAAAGTGATGTAGGAGACTGAGCCTTATGGGAGTAATCTAGTTATTTAGCACTGGTGTGAATGAAAAGCTGGCTGCTAATAATGAAAACTTTCTCCTTTTAACAGGTCTGCATGTTTTATGGTTTTGTTTCAAAAACCACTTTCTTCAGGAAAAGTGGTAACTAAGCGTCAGGTGAGTTGGCATATGTAATAGTGATGCATGTCTTTGTAGATATTCTTGACAATGTGGCTCTTCCCAAAAATGAAGGTGGAACAAAGGTTACTCCACTTGGAAGATGCGGTTGCAATTCCCAGAAGTGTGTACCTAACTTTGTGCCTAGTGTGCTTAAAAGAACTATTGGCATTTTTAAGTTTTTTCAGCTCCTTTTGGGCGTATCGAGAAAAGACTGGCCCTTGGCTCCATACAAGCCTCTGTTTCAAGGACTGGCTTTTCAAAAAGAGCTTAGTCTACTTAGCTGACTTCATCAGTTCAGAAGGGCAGTTTCTGGATGGCCAGAATGTCCAAGTGGCCCAGTCATGTGCCCTATGCCAAAGGAGTGCTTTCTGCGTCGTGCCTTGTAATGAGGGGCTAGTCTAACTGCTCGTCAGACCTGTGTTGAGTTCCCAGTATCCTGAGAAGTTAGAGAAGGACCAGAGTGGAATCTGCTGTTCTGTAGGATGTAAATTTTCTTTGCCTGCTCCATATTTAGCTTAGTTTTATACAATTGTCTGTGTAAAAGCTTGATCCATTCACAGTGTTACCAGTTTATGTGCTAAGTGGAGGGAATCTGAATCAGATATCAGCTGCTTTCATGATTAGACATGTAGAATGAACAGGAATGAATCAAATATTTCATTTGCGTTCAGAACAATCTGTCCATTTATGGTTTCACTGTTGCAAATTTTTCTTTTAAATTCTGGATTTTAAAGATACGATTGTTGTGGACACTTTGCCATTAATGTATTTCCAAAATTAATCTTTTTCTTCAAAAACTTGCATTCAAAAATAGTATTGTATTGAATAGCTAAATTATGACCTGCTTCCTGAAGAAAGATTTAATATGTGCATAAATATTTGCAGACTTACAGTATTAGTCTTGGGTGTTTTATCTAGTCCCACATATTTTTATCAGATATATAAAATAGATTACAAAATAAACAGCATCCTCAAAGGTAATTGGGTCTGGTTTTTTCAGCTTTTTTTAAAGCATTTTGTTAAGAGGGAACTTAGAGTTTATGGAATCTAGAACTGTGGTAGAAAATAAATCAGTGATTCTGCTTCATGATATGTCCAAACAAACCTTAGTTGCCTTGCAAAGCAGGTAAGAAGGTAATTGTTCTCTAAATTTTGCAAAACTTGTTTTCCCCTCTATTTCTGCTGCTACTGTGCTAAAAGAATGCTAATAATGGGACATGAATTTTGAAACTGTGGAAAAATCATAACAAAATACCTTTCTTTTGTAGTGGATCAAAATTTTTAAGCATGCTGTTGTGGGATGTATCATTTCACTCTTGTGGTTTTTTGGCCTTACTCTTTGTGGACCACTAAGGTAAATATATTTAGATATTTGCTGTAAATAATGTTTTCTCTTTTAAGCTAATTTTTTGTCATGTCTCCCTGTCTTTCTCCTTTGTTCTTTGTTTTCTGTCTGTCGGCCCATGCCATGACAAAAAAAAAACATATCCGGGTGGCCAGTATGAATTTCTGCATTTGTTGCAGGACACTGCTTTATCTGATTGCATGCCTGTGTTCTCTTGGAATTGGGTTGCATTAGTGCATATACTTGGGTAAAACCACTTGTGATGTTTGTTAGCATTACTGAGTAAATATAAAATAACAACAGTAGTCTTCCAAAGAAGATTATTGTATTACAAAGAATCTTTCATTAAAGAGAAGAAGGTAAAGTCTTAAATGATATGTTTTATGAAATTTAAGGTTTATCCTCTACACAGGGTTCCATATACCTGAGAAGAATAGAATTTCTATCAGAAATACTGTAGGGCTTTTCTGGATGCTGACGTTCTTCCAAAACAGAACCACTAGCGTGGGCCTTAGCATTTTGCACTGCTTTGCAGAGAATGGCAGAAGCATTTGGTAAATTTGACAGCATTTATTACTTTGTACTGCTTTGTACTGCTTTGGAAAGCTGCCAATATAGCCTTTGCTGTCCAAAGGAGGTGGCATGCAAGTTAGAATTTCCTATTTTCATCATTTGAGACGTTCTCAGGTTGCATAAACTGCTAGACCATCAACACCTCAATAAACAGGATGTAATACAACAGAATAGGATCACTTTTTTCTGGGAGCCAGAAACTTTGGTTTAGAGGAGGTATGGTAATAGCAATAGTAATTCTGTATTTAGCCAAGTTAGTATTTTATTGTGTTATTAAAAGGAAGTACAGTTTAACATATAAATTGAGTAATCTGTTCGTTGAGGTAGGAAGTTCTTCGATTTGTAATATGTGTAGCCGTCTGCAGCTAGATCTGTTATTGATGAAGGCAAATAGATTTGCATTTATCTTTTTCAGTTGTTTAAACTTGCTGTTGAAATCACACAATAAATAGACTGCTGTGTCCTTGAATTTTAGCTGAAACAATGTTTCTCAAGCTTGTGAGGTAAACTTGTAAGCCAATGTGAAGTGTTTATTTCACTTTTTTATAGGACATTGCTGCTGTTTGAGCACAGTGATGTGGTTGTGTTATCACTCCTTAGTGTCTTGTTCACAAGCTCAGGTGGAGGACCAGCAAAGGTATTTAAAATATATTTTACTACATGTAAATTACACTGAATGCTATAAATTTGTATACGTCTCTACCCAGAACAAACAGTGTTTCACACCTGTAGTCGTAGAAGCTGCCCCTTTTTCTTTTCTGGTGTAGTTGGTGCTGACATGATAAGATGTACTATTTCAAACTAAAATTTCATGTTGGAGATCTATAGCAGATGTCTGAAAAGTTTTTCTGATTTTAGGTAGAAAGAAACCTTGAGAATTATTTTTGTACTTCAGTATTCTTTGTGATGGGTTCCAGCTGGCAAAAGGGCATATGTCACAGGATCACAGCATTTTTTTAGTTGGAAGAGACCTTAAAGATCATCGAGTTCCAACTTCCCTCCATAGGCAGGGACACCTCCCACTAGACCAGGCTGCTCAGAGTTCAATCCAGCCTGCCCTTGAACACCTCCAGGGATGGAGCCCCCACAGCATCTCTGGGCAGCCTGTTGCATTGTCTAACCACTCTTATAGTGAAGAATTTATGCCTGATCTCTAACCTAAATCTCTCTTCCTTCAGCTTAAAACCATTACCCCTCGTCCTCTCACTGCAAGCCCCTGTAAAAAGACCCTCCCCAGCTTTCCTGCAGGCCCCTTCAGGTACTGGAAGGCCACTATGAGGTCCCCCTGGAGCCTTCTCTTCTTCAGGGTGAACAACTCCCTCAGCCTGTCCTCATAAGATAGGTGCCTCAGCCCTCAGATCATTTTCATGGCCCTTCTCTGGACACGTTCCAACAGGTCCACATGTTTCTTGTGCTGGGGGCATCAGAGCTAGACCTATAGTATTCAGGTGAGGTCTGACCAGAGCAGAGTAGAGGGCCAGAATCCCCTCCCTGGCCCTGCTGGCCACACTTCTTTTGATGCAGCCCAGGATGGAGTTGGCCTTCTGGGCTGAAACTGCACATTGGTGGCTCCTGTCCAGCTTTTGATCCACTAGTAGCCCCAGATCCTTTTCCACAGGGCTGCTCTCAAGTGTGACCTCCCCCAGCCTGTATTCATATCTTGGGTTATCAGGGCCCAGATGCAGGACCCTGCACTTGTCCTTGTTGAACCTCATGAGGTTCACCTGGGCCCACTTCTCTAGCTTGTCCAGGTCGCTCTGCATGGCCCCTGTCCCTCTGGCATATCGACCACACCACCCAGCTTGGTGTCATCAGCAAACTTGCTAAGGGTGCTCTCGATGCCTTTGTCAATATCATTAATGAAGATATTAAACAGCACTGGTCCCAGCACTGACCCGTGAGGGACACCACTTGTCACTGTTTTCCATCTGGACTTAGAGCCATTGACCACTACCCTCTGGACGCAACCATCCAGCCAGTTCCTTATCCACTCTAGTGGTCCTGACTTTTAAGCATGCAACTCCAGCAATACAGTCTCCAGATCCTTACCTAGCCTCTTAGTGTCTGTAGATTTTAAAATACTTTCGGTTTTTTCTCTTAAAAAGTTCTCTAAGGACTTTAATGTCTGCATGAGCCTGTATGTGCTGAATGCTTGGGCCCAGTCTTTCACTTAACCAGATTTCGATACTTGAAACACCCTTTGAGTCCTATTATGCACAGTTTTGCAAGGTGTTCTCTGACTGTCTCATCAGCCCTAAAAAAAATGAGCTTATCCAAGCACCTAGCAGTCTTGGACATTGTCCTTTGAAATCAGTGATAGTTGGAGGAAGATACCAGAGGCTAGAGTACTTCTGGAGTACGAGCAAGTCTGACTTTGGTGCCACCTCTGACTGGGAGTTTTGCAATCTCTATCTTGTAACTGCTGCTGGAGTCTCCTAATCACTTTTTAGGATGGCTGTAGAGTGAATAGCAGAGTCATCTGATCTGGCTTTCTACCCTGGCCCCTCAAATTGAGATGCATAGGGCATCCAGCATGAAGCTTTTCACCTAGAAGATACATTTTGTTTTTCCAGCCATCCACCCAAAGGGTAAAAGTAGAGCTTCAGAGAGATTGTCAGTCTGGCTCTTAGTGAGCTGTGCTTGGCATCTAAGCTGCATCTTTTAAGGCAGCAGAAACAAGGGAGCAGTAGCTGCCTTCTGAATGTTTCAGCTTTATAAAGTGAGCTGTGGCATAAAGAAGTCGGCTGACTATCAAAAACGATAATGGGATAACTGTATTTGGCTTTAGAAGATGAATTCTAGTAGAAGCTTTTATCTGTAGAGCTCAGTGTTTTGCCAAGATAATGAATACCAATATTGCAGGGTTTTAAATCAGGGTGGTGAAAGCGCTGGGAGCTGGGTTTTCATAGGTGCCTCTGTCCCTTTCTACAAAAGCACTGCAGAGCTCTGCTTTCCCAAAGAACCTTAGCACTGTGTTTAGCCTTTATCTTCCATAAGAAAAAATACAACAATTTGTCTACTTAATCTTGTTAGTAGCTTCTTGTTGCTATGAAGTATTAAATCATCAGGCTTAAGTAACTGCAATGCTGGCAGGCAGAAACATGAAGAAAGAAGTAAAAACACTTGAAGTTTGAGAAGTACAGGTTTCTGGTGTATTACAGTGGTCATTTGCCCCAAGTTACCTGCTAAATCTGAAAAATGGAATAAGTATAAAATTACAATTGTCAGATCACTTTTTCAAAATAATGGGTTTTTTCCTTATTTTTTTTTACTAAACTAAAATATGCTTATATTGATCAGAAAGTGAGAGGAGGGGACTGGATCTTTTCACATTAATCTGTTACAGAATATTTAAAAAATATTTCGGTGTTTTGTTTTCTTCTTACAGACAAGAGGTGCTGCATTTTTCATCATAGCAGTCATCTGCTTACTACTTTTTGATAATGATGACCTCATGGCTAAAATAGCAGAACATCGTATCCTTTCTTGCTGTGTGTAAAAGCAAGTGTCTGTTGCTACTGGAGCAGAGAGAATGTGAAGTTGAATGCACTGAATTAAATATGCCTGCTTTTTTTTTTTTAATAGGAATCTCACTTGTCAATAATATTATAGCATAAGAGCAATGGCATTGCCTACTTCGATAACTTAAAACACAGCTAAGATTTTAAGTTGTAGTTAAAGGTTTCCTGTCTGTTTACATATATCAGACCACTCAGGATTGCTAGAAGCTTTTTTGATCAGCTCTCTTTATTATTTTTTTTTTAGATATTCTGAACATAATGACTGAGTAGCCTGAGTGTGTGCAGTACATAATTGACAGCCTGACTGGTAGTCTGAAGATGGCTTTGTGCTTTTGCAAATGTGGTAGTCTTAGTTCATCTGCTAAACTGGAGAGTGATGTGAAATAGTTGGCAATGGCACCAACTACAGTGCATTGCAAACCACCAACAGAAACTAGCTAACATGCTTTCAAAACTGCTAGGTAATTTGAAGTGATTCTGAAGTAAGTTTTTAACATGTCTTCTCATCGCAGTGAAGTGTAGTGACAGAAAGTGGTATGTCTTAAGAATGGGCAGTAGAAACAAACAAAGGGAAAATAAACTATCTCGAAGAAGGATGAAAACACAGAATTACAGGTGCAAATGGTATATTCAGGAATGGCGTGGGTTAATCCACTGAGTTTTCAGTGAGTAAATCCATTGCTGAAGTGCCCTCTACTAGTTTTCCAAAAAGCTATCATTATTTTAATCTTTGCTGGATTGTGCTTCTCAATCTTTCTTTTCTGAACTTTGAGTATTTAGAAACTCAAAAAATAGAGATGAGATCAGGTTTTAGACACCTCATTGTTTTAGTGCTTTCAGTGAAAAAGCAATCTAATGTCTAATGCTGTTGAGTATATTTTTTAAGTCTGGTTCCCAAAATTAATATAAATCCTATATCATTACTACTGTGCACTATTTTAACAGTGACTATATTCTTGTGTTTTAAAATACTTTTTGCTTTTCCTCCAAGTATTCTCAAATGTTTCTTTTCTGTGGAATTATTTTGATCTTTCATAAATTTTAAGGATCTGACAAACCTTAAAGCTCAGCTTGCTTACTTGTGCTTCCTATAGTCTTCTGCTGTATCTGCCTGTTCTTAAACAAAAAAAATCATCACATGAAACTCTTCCTTAACTTTTTTTTTTGTTTAGCTGAAGGACATCATGACAGTGCTCTTACCCACGTTCTATATACAATCATTGCTTTCCTGGGTGTTGCAGATCACAAGGTAAAGAATTTACATTTTAGTAGGATAGTATTTACCTAAGTTTTGTAGGTAAGAATTTAACCAGCTCAGAGCTAATCCAAGCCTAAATTAAAACAAAAAATTTCAACATCCCATCTCGTATTGGAACTGAACTAGCAGTGTAATTTTTACATCTTGATTGAGTACAAGCAGCTCCAGTGCATCAAGCCAAGCCATACCGTATTCAGCTTGTATAGCTGATAAGGACTTTGCTGTAATGTGTAACCTAAGATGTCTCACTAAAATTATCAAGTACTCCTTGTCATCATTGTTCTGGATGCTCATAATGCTTTTCATACAATACGTTTTTTGCTCACTTTTAAGGTCAGTGTTTTATTGCGTCTTTATCTTTCCCCAGTCTTTCCTTCACATTAGACGCTTGTATCTGAAGCCACAGATCCTGATACTTCTCAGTGGTATAGTCCCATTATAGCTGGTGGCACGAGTAACAGTATCAAAATCTTACTGTATGAGATTGACTTGTTCTGCTACCTTAGTGTTTTTACTAAAGTGTATGCATGGAGACTAAAATAGGAAAAAATATATATGGACCAGCTTATTAGTATAAAAGTAAATCAAATGTTAGAGAGACTGGTTAACTGTGTGCAAAACAAGTGTGATCTGAAGGATATGAGATGCAGTGTGTATCTTGTCATTCATTTATAGAACAATTTGGAAAGAAAATATTGTGAAGATACATGATACAGTGTGATTAAAGATAACTTAATGAAAAGGTTATAAGAAGGTTAGAGGCCAAGGTGACATGACACTTCTGAGGTTTATATATACTTTTAAGATGTTTTTAATAAAGGAAGGTAGGAAGCTTAGTTCTGTTATTTTTCTTTTTCTCCATGTGCTTTTCACTACCAGCTCTTGGCTTATCTATGCAGATAACACCACTGGGAGTTTTAAACTTCAAATCATATCAGCCTGTTGTGAATAGTGCTGAGGTATAATCATGTATGCTATCTTACTGTTTTTAGCTAGAGTAACAAATGGAGGAAATATCTTGTCTTTAGCTTTTGTTAAGTTGGAAAGCACATTAAACTTTTTCATGTAAGTGTCACTTTGTTTGGAGTGAGGGATGTGACTCTCAAGAAGGGCTAACGTGTTCTTTCCATGTTTCCAGGGAGGAGTACTGCTCCTGGTGCTGGCTTTGTGCTGTAAGGTTGGTTTTCACATAGCTTCCCGGAAACTATCCGTAGATGTAGGTGGAGCCAAGCGTCTTCAAGCTTTGTCTCACCTTGTTTCTGTCCTTCTGCTGTGCCCGTGGGTCATTGTTCTCTCTCTGACAACAGAGGTAAGGTAACAAGTATAAAAATAAATTGGTTTTTGTATGCTTCTGTTTGTGAATTGAAATTTAAATCTTTCCTTTAAAATATTTTCAAAATGACCCAAGTTGCCATCTTTATTTTTCTAGTAAGCCCTATTTGAAAATATTTCCTCTGTATTTTGATTCTGTATATCTGGTATATTTTGTTATTTGTATATCTGCAAGATACCTGAATTTTCTTTTTTGTGTGATAACTTTATTTCAACTTTCCAGCTCAGATTTTATATCCTGGATTCATACACTAACATTGCACAAGTATAATGTCTGTGTAAATACAGGGCTCTTTTATTCCTGGAGAGAAATTACTGTGGTTTGAAGACATGCTTAGGAAGAGCAGATCATTGCAAGCATGGCTTCGCATATGGCATTGCTTTTAAACATGTGAAAATACCTTATTTAAAATAAAGTACTGTAGTGCTTGCAAACTGTATGTGTCTTTCTGTAGCTGGAATTAAATATTTGTAATAAAGTGAACTAGATTTGATGCTTTGTATATAATCGTGTCTAATGGTGAGCAGTCCTCTTTGAAAGGTATTTTTTGTTGCAGAGTAAAGTAGCATCCTGGTCTTCTCTCATCATGCCTTTCATAACAGTCATCTTTTTTGTTGTGATCCTGGATTTCTACGTGGAGTCCATATGCTCTGTCAAGATGGAAGCTTCCACATGTGCACGATATGGATCCTTTCTTACTTTCATTAGTGCACTGCTTTTTGGCAACTTTTGGACACATCCAATCACAGACCAGCTTAGAGCTATGAACAAGCCACCACACCATGAAAGCACAGAGCACGTTCTTTCTGGAGGGGTTGTAGTCAGTGCTGTCTTCTTCATTTTATGTATGTATTTTTCCTTATCTTTTAATAAATCCATTGTCTATGTGACTGGGAAGCCAAACATAAAATGGATGTATGCAGAATTCTTTTGGATGAGCTTTTATAAATTATTTTTAATAAGAAGGGCCTGTAGCTTTGTGCTCTTTCACTGATTGTCAACAAAAAAGAACAATGACGTACATCTGTTGTGGAAGTGATGATCTAATCTTACATAGCAGTGAAATCTAATGATAAGCCTCAAGATTAAATTGACTGTCACTTTGCTGCCTGCAAATTTCGTGTAAGCTTGGATTGCTAGTCAAATTATTAAATAGTTTTGGATTGCTAGTCATGTTATTAAATAGCTGTGAAGCTTAGAAACAGCAACAAAAACTTCAATACTTTCCTTGCAGCTGCCAATATCCTGTCCTCCCCCTCCAGGAAAGGGCAGAAGGGTACCCTTATTGGCTATTCCCCCGAAGGCACACCTCTCTATAACTTCATGGGTGATGCGTTACAGCAGAGCTCTCAGTCATTACCGCGGTTTATTAAGGAGTCGCTGAAACAAATCCTTGAGGAGTATGATTCTAGGCAGATCTTCTATTTCTTGTGCCTAAATCTGGTAAGTGCTTGGTTTTTTTCAAACCAAATCAGACTAGTACATAAATAGTACAGTACGAAGAGTTACTATTTAAAAGGTTCCTCGGATTGGTTGGCTTTAAAGCAATGGCAGAGTAGTTCCATTAGGTGGAGTGTTAAAATAGATTTGTATGCTAATGTTCCAGTAAGTGGCAGGTCACTTTGTTGTCACAGTGTGGCGCTAGTTCTATGTGTAAGTGCTAAATCAGTGAAGAAATACTTGTATGATGGTATGTTTAAGACTGATGTAGCCCAATGTTACCAGCAGATAAGCTGAAACTGAAAAGGCCTTTGAGGATGGGTGCAGCAAAAGAGTAAGTGTGAGAGTGAGCAGTGTTCTTTTGGAGTAGGCTGGTTTTTCTTCTAGCCTCTCTCGAACAGGAGAAGATCATGCAGTAAGTAAGATTGCTAGAACCTCATTTGCAAAAACCTCTCTTTTGTTCTTTGTCAATTATCCAAGAAAATAGAGGAAGAAACTTCACGTATCCATTGTAACTTTAAGGAATTCCATTATGGAATAGTGAAGATGGAAAAGGAACGTGTATAGGCAGATCAGTTAATAACAGCAAATCACAGAGGGAAAATGTGTTAAAAATCTTTCCTTGTGTACCCATCTCAAAACTGATTCACAGGATTTTAACACAGCTAATTGATGAAAGAAATTTGTACAGAGCAGATGTATAGACAGTATTGCTTTTATACTAATAATAGATCAGATCAGAATTGTTAACATAGTTTAATGACAAAATGCTTAAAACTTTATCTGTGCAAAATTCTAAATGAACCCTTAAATCTCCTGTGGAGAATTGTTTTCTTAGGTCTAAGGCTTTTGGGGAGGGTAGGTTCAAAAATGCCTCTTGATAGACTTGGAAAGTATCAATTATTTTTGTTTCATTGGAGGACAGAGAAATGATCTAGAAATACTTTGAATGGTACCTTTGAGAACTGTGAAGTGTCATATGAGAAGATTTTCCTGCTAGCTACCAAGACACTAAAATTACAAGTTAATGTTTGAGGGAAAATTCAAACTCTCTTTCATTTTAGGCTTTCACTTTTGTGGAACTTTTTTATGGAGTATGGACCAATAGCCTTGGTCTTATTTCTGATGGATTTCACATGCTGTTTGATTGTTCTGCATTAGTGATGGGGCTTTTTGCAGCTTTGATGACACGATGGAAAGCAACTCGCATATTTTCCTATGGGTATGTATTTCACGTTCTTTAAGGACTTTCTAAAAATCATTCTACTTATTTGTATCAAATATATTATAACTTTGTTATAACTTTGACATTTGTTCCAAATACCCATTCTTCACCCTCAAAAGTACGTATGTTTGCTTTCAGGTATGGACGTGTAGAAATTCTTTCTGGATTTATTAATGGCCTCTTCCTGATGGTAATTGCTTTCTTTGTCTTCATGGAATCAGTGGCCAGACTCGTGGATCCTCCAGATATAGATACAAACATGCTAACTGTAAGTTTTGTCTTTCTGTTTGAATGTTACTTGGCATTAATGGGTCCTTCATTATTTTTTTAATTTAAAAAAAAACAAAATGGAGACTTAAGTTGTATAATCAGGATATCTAAACTGTGCCTTTTTAACATAAACTTGATTTTAAAATCCTAATTATATCTAGCTTTAAAATACGAAAATATATAGGGGTAAATATAATTTAATTAGAACATTTACACTGAAATTCTTTCTGAGATGTTACAGCTTTAAGATTTTTAGATAGTGGCCTTTCTACAGTAAGAGATAGTAAAAATATAATCCATACCAGACAAAATCTAGTTCTGCTGTTATGTATACCAGTGGTGATTATTACAGAAAGGACTTTTGTGTTAGCCTCTGAGAAACCTCAAAAATCAGCCAGAATTCAAAACCTTATGCTGCATTACTCTGGCATAAACAATCATGAAGCTGTGCATAGCTGATCTTGACTACACCTCTGTCTTTCTACCTTCCACAGCTTCTTCAGGGGCTACCTGCTTCAATTTTCAAGATTCCATCCCCTTTCATTCAAATGTAGTAGTTAATTTTCTTCAAACTTTTTTTTTAAATGGAATTCTGCAAATTCAAGCTTTCATTTCTCACATTTCCAGCTTCACTTGTTTTGTCTCCCACACACACACATGAACTTGGGTTCTCATGCTCTCTTCAATAACAAAGATTTTTCTGTAGGCACAATTAGAAATGTACACTGCTGGAATTGAGGCTTGATTTTTTTTTTCTAATTTTTTTTTTTTTAATCTTCCATATTTGATCCATTTTCACTACTGATTTTGTTTCTTGAGGGGGAAGGGTTACCCCCTGTACATGAGCACAGTCTGCATAGCCAAGGAAAGGACTTACAATCCCTGAGTAGGACTTGCTTAGCTCATTTATTAGCTGGAATTATTCTTACACTTTGCTAGTTTTTCAAGAGAAGATTAGAAAAATAGGCAGACGGATAAAAAGCACAGCTTAACCAAGAGAGTAGTAGTTGCTGTCTTCAGATAAGTACAATCGTAGATGAGTGTGCATGTCCTAGATATAACATACAGTTGGTTTTTTTTGCTAATGTAGACAGAGCAAAGCTTGTATTCAGACCAGTTTGTCTCTTTTTGAAAGTAAATAAACTCAATCACTCCTTCCTAAAACTAGATTTGCTATTTTGTCCTGATTTGTGGGTACTTTGTGGATTTGTGGGTTTTGCATTTTGGTGGCGATTATTAGGTGGGGTTTTTAGGAAGGTTGGGGAGAAATGGACTATTCTGGGGAGGGGAAGAAAATTCCTTTTAAACCAGCTTATATACTGAAAGGAATATGATGAGGAGTCCATGTTAAAGTAATCTTTTTGATGTTTAGGCTTCCACAGTTTTCTTTCATTAGGTGTGCAAGGGTTAGTTCTAGAAAATAGACTTGCAAACCTGGGGAGATGTGATGTTAACAGCTTTTCTCCCTCTCACAGCCAGTCTCTGTTGGAGGGCTAATTGTGAACCTGGTTGGCATCTGTGCCTTTAGCCACGCACACTCCCATGGGGCTTCTCGGGGAGGTTGTCACTCACACGATCACAGCCATTCTCACCATGGGCACAGCCACAGCCATGGGCACAGCCATTCCCACAGTGACCATGGTCACAGCCATGGACATTCCCATGGGTCTTCTGGAGCAGGCATGAATACCAATATGAGAGGCAAGTACAGATTGTTGTATTGTAATTATGTGTATGATTTCCAGCAGACTTGGAATATTTTCAGAATCAGACCTAGTACTATGTATCATTCTGAAAATCTCCAGAAGTGATCTGACAGCCATTTAAACATTAGAAAAGCTAAATGTTTTGTTTTAATTTTGCACCTGGTTAGGCAGATAGTTTCTTCTCACCTTGAGAAGTGTTTATTATATGTAAGAAGCCCTACTGTATTTCCTTCATTGAACATATAGGTGTATTTTAAACAGGACTGCTCAACTTAATCACTCGATTTATTTTATTTTCAGGTGTCTTTCTGCATGTGTTAGCAGACACTCTTGGCAGTGTGGGTGTTATCGTATCCACGATATTTATCCAGCAATTTGGATGGCTCATAGCTGATCCACTGTGCTCTCTTTTTATTGCTACATTGATTTTTCTTAGTGTTATCCCTCTGTTGAAGGATGCCTGTCAAGTGCTTTTGTTGAGGATACCTCCAGAACAGGAAAAGGACCTGCATGCTGCTTTAGAAAAGGTCAGAACTACAATTGGAAATGTTTTTGTATACAAACACAAAGCTGTAGCTGCTTTTAATAAAAATTACTATGCTCAGGTAGTTCAGTTTGACAGTTTCCATTGTCTAAAACAACTTCATGTCTCAAGTTGATTTAGATCCGTTTTGCAGAGATGTGGTAGGATTAGCAGTTCTACTGATGGAAGTTGTTAATTTCAGACAAGTATGGCAACACTGTGGGAAAGGTACTAAGAAATGTAGCAATTCCTAAATGCTTGTGCCTTTTTTAAACTTGATAGGGATGTTTCAGGCCACAGGACTATACCTTGAGCTGATAATTGTAGGTTTTCTTGTTTGTCCATATCATGAAGGGCATGCTGAGTCACGGTAGATGAGATGGCAAAAGTAAAACTGGGGTTTTTTAAGTATTTTTTCATCCTAGTCCATTCTCTCTCTTCCTGGCTGCTGCAGTACAGTATCTATTTTTTGGCTGTACTTAGTCTTCACTGTTAGCTCATATGAAGTTCCTGCCCACGATTGTAGAGCAGACCTTAGTGTGGAGAACCCCTCCCTGTCAAAGAAGTAGTTACGTGTTCTTTGATGATGCCATCAACTAGGGGCAGCAGGGAAGACTATACTGATGGTGTCCTGACAGTGAGTAGGGGGGCAGGTGTGTTCCTGTCTGCATGAGAAAGAAAAGAATAAATGGAAATTGGCTGGGAGAGACTTCTGTAATGAAAGTGAAGTGCAGAATGAGGTTTCACTTTTTGATGAGGAAAGACAAAAAGCAATTCAGGGAGACTGAGGGAAAAGGAATTATTTGGTTAAAACAATCAAAGAGCAATTCACTACAGCATAATAGGAAAAACATTTTAAAAAACACAGCACAGTAGAACAATATTCTTGCTGTATGTTGACCCCAGCTTGGAGCTAGGCATCCACACAGCTGATTGCTCACTCCCTCTTTACCACCACCACTGGCAGTGGGTGGGAGGAGAGAATGGGAAGAGCAAAAGCAGGAAAAATCAAGGAGCAATGTAAAGACAGTTTAAGAGGTGAAGGAGAGGGAAAAAAAACAACTACCTTCCACAGGCAGACTCACACCTAGACAGCCTCTAAGCAACAGCCACCTTGAAAGCCAGAAAAGCCCCCAGCCTCTACCCTAAATTTTATTGCTGAGCATGAGGTTACATGGCATGCAGTATCTCTGGCCAGTGTGAGTCAGCTCTCCCAGCTGTTTCCCTGCCCTACTTCTTGCCCACCCCCAGCCTACTCACTGGGGTGATAGCAGAGTGAGAAAAAGAAAGCCTTCACATTGCCCAAGCGATAGGTGGAACATTGGTCCGTTATCAAACTTGTTTGGGTACATATAAAATCAAAACATGGCACCTTACTGACTGTTGTGAAAAAAGTTCAATCCATCCCAGCCAGACCCAGTACAAATACGAGTTTCAAAAAAATAAACTGAACTGAGTTAAGTCCAGCTATGATAGCTAAATAGCTGGTTAACCTGACTAATGAAGTATCAGATGCCTAGAAATGGTTATATGCCAAGCAAGTACCTGGTTGGTCTGTCTGTTGATGTGATCTGTACCCTAAATGAGGTTTTTTTCACCCTATGTAGCATCAGATTCTGCTGGGGTTTTAATTTAGTTTGACTTCCAGCTTCTAGTCTTTGACATTAGTAGCAAGGTGACCTTTTAGTGCTATGTATTTCTATGTATGACTTAGCTGGAAATCTGCTTTGCTATACAGCTTCAATTCCTAGTGAAGTATTTGCCACCAATATCCATGTAAATACACACGTTTGAAATGTGTTCTTAAGTTAATTGTTGCTCATTTAATTTCTTTACAGATTCAGAAAATAGAAGGAGTCATATCCTACAGAGATCCTCACTTTTGGTGTCACTCTGCAAGTGTTGTGGCGGGTACAATACACGTGCAAGTGGTATCAGATGTGACAGAACAGCGAATTGTACAGCAGGTGAGGTGCAGGGGTTTTAGACCTTTATGCCTTAATTTCCTGCTCTTTTGCCCTTTCTCAGTCATAGACTGAAGTTTGAAGAGGCTTTTTGTGATTCTTTTTATAATCACTAGTTGGTGTCTAAGAACTGGTCTGTAATCCTGTATTTCTTCTTCACTGCCAGCTTGGAATTAGTTGTGTGAAGTTGTTTTCTAAAACATCTACCAAAACAACAACAAAAAGTCTGGGTGTTTCTCTCTCAGTGTTGAAAGTGGCACTACATCTGCTCTGAGAATAGGAGTATGGGGTGGATTTCATGCTGCAAAATAGTCTGGCTTCTAATCATGTTTATAAGTGGCTTACTGATACCTGTCTGCCTTCAGTTTTTCTTTTCCTTAAAAACATACTTGCTTCCTTATGCAAGACACTGAGAATTGCCCATTGTGCAGAAGCTGCAAAAGCCATACCTTCTGAAGCTAGTCTTCACTTTCCAGAAAATTGAATTCTTTATGATGATGTTTTTTAATCTACAGTATTTCAAAATCAAAAAATTGCAAGTTGCTATGAGAGGCACCTAAGTCTAATTGAATGTTAACCATATTGGTTCCTTCAGGTTACAGCAATTCTGAAAGATGCTGGTGTAAACAACCTAACTGTCCAAGTGGAGAAGGAAGCTTATTTTCAACACATGTCGGGACTCAGTACAGGGTTTCAAGATGTCCTTGCAATGACTCAGCAACTGGAATCCATGAAATACTACAAAGATGGTACTTATATCATGTGATACAAAGTTGTGTTCACCAAAGAAGGTGTAAGTGGTGAAGCTGTAGGATTCCATATTCGTATTACCTTTTGTCAGGGGATATTGCACATACATGTACAGAAACAAATGTATTATATATTTGGTTTTTTTTAAGCATACTATCTTTATTAAAATTGGATCAATCTGCTTTTATATAGGAAAAAAGATGGACTTGATTATTTGCTGCATATGTGAAAATAATTGAATTCTTAAATTCTGTGCTTGATTATTAAACAGAACTCTTGCAGCTTGTGGACGAGCATGGATATGTTGCATTCTTTCTCTTAAGTATAGAACATCATTATAATTTAATGTTAGCAATGGGAAATTAGTTCATATTGGCATGCAAGCACGATCAACTGAAGAATATTTTTCTTTCAAACACAGTTTATGAGACGCTTTGAATTAAAATTTACCCATTTATTATGGAAAGTAAAATACGATGTGAAGTCTTTGCATACTTTATTAGATAATAGAAGTATACAGGTTTTATATTATGTCTCAGCATACAAATCTGATTTCTAAACTTTATTTTAATATATCAGAGCAAATAGATGCTATCATTATAGATTTATATCAAATTCTTTTTTCAAGGACAGAAATCCACAGGTTAACAGTGAGAAATGGAGGGGAAAAACTTGGAGACACTTTTCTGTTTCCTGGGAAGACTCAGAATAAAAAAAAATCACTCTTGTAATTTTTATTTTTTTTTTACTTTTAGTATGAATAACTGCAAATGCCTGAAGTAATTAATCATTGAGCATCCTAGCACTAAGCTGAACTTTACTTCTTAAAATATGTTACTCTGTCATTTACATTATTTTCTTTTTAATACCGTAAAACAGCTGCAGGTGTACTGTAGCTAGAAGTACCTTTGTATATTACCCAGGGAAGCAGACCAGGTTTAGAAATCAAAACTGCCCAGTTTTCAGGAACCTGGCAGGTTGCTAAAACAAACTGTAAATTGAGACTTGTTGACTGGAAAGAGAAATAGTGTGTTTTGGAAAGAATTTTGCATGTTGGGGTCTGAATACAGCAAAGAAAACAAATTTCTATCTTTAGTGAAAACCTGCCAGCAGGGTAATAATGTATGTTGTGAGAGTCTTTACAGTCTTCCTGTGCACCCTTTTCGTCTTGTCTGAAGCCCTGAAATATTTTCCTTGGAATTCAGCAAATCAGTTCAGTGGTTAGCAAGCATGAGTATATCTTTTCATCACTCCATGTATCACGGCAGTCTTATTTTGTTATACTTGTTTGGGTACTTAGCATCAGTACCTGAGTGTCATTATAAAGGCTGCACTTGATCTTACTGGAATTTGAGGACAGTCCTGTGGGAATTACATTATCAGGACAAACTCACCAGTGACGTGGTTTGAAATGTCCTTGAGCAAGTCTGCTTCTCTTCCGACGGGACTGTTTATACAAACTACACAGTTTTTTTGTAGCTGTTAAAACAAGTTTATATTCCTTTCTATTCCTCCCATCCTGTGTTAAAACACTATCTGCAGTACAGGACTGACTTGAAAAACTGTGGTCAGAAAATCTGTGAAAGTCATATTGCTTTTACATAAAGTGGTGAGGCTTGACTGCACAAATCACTGTCCCTCATTTCTCAGAACAGCACTGCAGAACCAGCCGAGTTCTCAAAGCTTGAGCCTGTTTTCTTTTGATTTATGCCTTTGGCAGTGGTTGCCTCCTCCTGAAGCCTTAGGTCAGTTGTGTATGTGCTGCTCATATTTGAGGTGATTGTACTGGAGCCGACAGCATTTCACCAAACTGAGCATTGGCCCCATAGTGATGGGCAGGTGAAAAGGAGGATGACTGTTTCCAAATCATTAGCTTCCTGCTTGCCACAGCTCTCTCTGAGCAAATGCTAATTTCCTACTTCAGCTGCTAGCAATAGGACCCAGAACAAACTGAGGTGGCTGGGGCTGCGTAAGATTTATCATGACAGTGAAGATCAGCTCATACCTGGGTACTACGCAGCAAGTTCACACCTGCACCGTAACGCATGTGACAGCTTTTTGTGTGTTACTCAGTGTGCACACACTTTCTCCTGGCTACCTTCACAGGAAGACAATGGCAATAAACATCTTTCACAAATTCATTTAACAAGAGCCCGTATCTGGCACTAATCCTCCAAAGAAGGGTTTGGACTTCCCCCTGCAAGGTCAATTGAAACTGTTCCGTGAGAGTAGGTTTTCACATCACTGATATAGGCAAATTTATTTATATTTTGATAAATACTGTGGTGGGGGAGTTTTTAGTTTAGTCACTTGGTTGTATGCAGAGTTGAACTTGGAAGAGAACACTTTCAAAGGTAGAGCAAAGTCTAAGACAAACTGCAGCTATGTATTGTACATCTGGCAGCAAGCAGTATCTGTGTTTACAATGAGGAAAAAATAAATGTTTTTCAATAATGTTATGCAGTGCATCTTGACTTGTCTGTTTAAATAAGTTAGGGTGGAAACAGGAAAAGTATGTGAAGAAAAAGTCGGTATAAATGGAGGGCTCCGGCTGTGTCTCCAGCTGCTTGCAGGGAGCTTATTTGAGGTAGGCAGCTTGAGAACACGTTTCAACAGAGGCCTCGCGGGCACCTCTGGTCCCAGCGCCCTCGGCCCCGCATGC